ACGAGGTTATTGGGCCTGAAATCGGTACAATCAAATTTGTGTAAGGTGTATTAAAGAAAAAGTATATCTATTCAGTTCAGAATGAGGTAATGGTTCTTGTCAAGCGGATGAGTCCTGTGAGTTATTGATTTGACGGGTAGTTACGAGTTCCTGTGTATCTATTTCATCGTTACAGTATTATGAGGATTGAAATCGGGCTTATATGTGTTATGAGGTATACTACGGGCGTCGAATCGGTGAATTTGCAGTTGTTGTGCCTGGAGGAGGTTGCCTTTTGCAAGTAAGTATGTAGTGCATTGCCTGATGTCATCACGGGTGCATGATCATGTGTGGGTTCAACGTGTGGAGATTTATACGATGTTCGTATGTTAAAATATAGTCTTGCTGGGAAATTCAGAGGTTGGAATTTGGTTCTAAGGCTTATTGACTAAATAAAAGGGAGGATCTTCAGTATTGCTCGAGCTAATGTGCTTATCTAGGTTGTGGTGGCACGGGCAGGTGCACGAGGTGTTAAATAATGATTTTGGACAACTTCGGAGCAGTTCTTGGCACGTTCGAGGACGAATGTATGTTTAAGTGGACGAGAATAAAATGACCTGACCGGTCATTTTGAGCTCTAGCGCGTCGTTCGGCAGTATGAGGCCTTGAGTAGCTTCAATTCAGGCATTATGACTGGTGCGTGTGGTCGGAATTGAATTTTGGGAAGTTCAGAGTTGATTCAGATGGAAAATTCTAATTTCGGAAGCTTTAAGTTGGAAGAATTGATCAAGGTTTGACTTTTGAGTAAACGACCTAGGAATAATGATTTGAAGGTTTCAATAGGTTCGTATGATAATTTCGGACTTGGGCATATGTTCGGGTTGAGTATCGGGTCGCTCGGGAGCATTTCAGTGCTTATTATGGAAGGTTGGCATTCTAAAAGTATTAGGATTTCATAAGTTTGGTTTGAAATGGATTTTGATTTTATCGATATCCGTTTGGATTACGAGACTTGAATAGGTTTGTATCGTGATTTGTGACTTGTACGCAAGATTTGGCGTCATTCCGGGATGTTTAAGTATGATTCGGATGCGTTCATCGAAGTTTGAATGTTGAAGTTTTAAAGAAGGATTTTGATCGTCGATTAGTAGTTTTGATGTTGTTTGGTATGATTTGAGTCCTCGAGCAGGTTCATTTCATGTGATGGAACTGATTGGTGTGATTGAACGGGGCCTGGGGTGTGATTCAGAGTGGTTTCAGACTATTTTTTCTTGTTATGCAACTGTTGGCGCTGGTGTCTAGTGTTGTTCTTCGCAAACATGAAGGGTATCTCGCGTTCGCGAAGAAGAATTTTAGGCTGAGGTATTTTTGTTCTACGCGAATGTGACACAGGGGTCGCGAACGCAGAAGAGGATTGGACCATGCCTACGCAAACGCGACACAGTGGTTGCGAACGCGAAAAAGGAAGGGAGATGGGGGGCTGGAAGTGTTTAGCTTTCGCGAACGCGGTTGTGTGACCGCAAACGCGAAGACGAATTTTGAGAGGCAATATTTTTAGCCTTCGCGATCGCGAAGGTATTCCCGCGATTGCGAAGAAGGACGAGCCTGGGCAGATTGTTTTAAGTTCGAATTTTTGCTCATTTCACTCATTTCTCTCTTGGTTTGGGCGATTTTTGGAAAGCTTCAAGGGGAGATTTTCATCATCTATTGCAAGGTAACTAATTCCCGTATATTATAAGTTAATTACACGGATTCTTTAAGGATTTAACATGAAAATTTATGAAAAATTATGGAATTTTGAAGAAACCCTAGAATTTGGTAATTTTGAATTTTGACCACGAAATTGGAATAAATCATATATTTGAGTTCGTATTGTTATGGGTAATGTTTATCTTCGAAATATTTTGGAATCCGGGCACGTGGGCCCGAGGGTTGACTTTATCGACTTTTCGAGCGGAGTTGAAAATTGTTTAAATTGATTAATTGTGGGTATTAGAGTATATTTTAATTGGTTTGCATATTGTTTAACTAGTTTTGAAATGATAGCCATCGGTTTGAGGTGTTAGAGAGATGTTGGAGCCGGTTATGGAGTTTCGGAGCGAGGTAAGTCTCATGTCTAACTTGTGAGGGGGAAACTACCCCTAGGTGATGTATTTGTTATATGCTACTTGTTGCGGGGGCTACGTACGCACAAGGTGACGAGAGTCCTTACGTAGCTAGATTTATGTTATGTTCGGGTAGACTTAGGTTCTCGCCATTCTATAATTGTACTATTGGAGTTATCTTTGCTCGCTTAATTCCTTTATTTTACGTTACAACTTGAGATTAGACTTGCGTAGAGTATTAGACTTGCTATTGTAGAGATTTAATGTGCTACTTGATTTAGCCGCGAATAATTGTGCTCCCTTTATGAATTTCTCCCACGTTGTGCATTTTCATTGAAAAGTTTCCTTAAAGTTCATAACTCACATATTTATTCGTGAATGGGGTCAATAACCCATTAAAGCTTCTTATTCTAATGGGAGTCGGGTCGTTAGATGCATCTGGTTCGTGTCGTTCGACCATCGGTAGTGCACATTATGATGGGGTTGGGTCGTTCGCCTCCACAGGATTATGTATCACACTCTCATGGGAGCGGGTCGTTCGCTTCGGCAGTATAATAGATGTATCTATGGCTCGTGTCGTTTGACCCTCGGCAGTGCACACATTATAATGGGATAGGGTCATACGCCTTGGCATTTCTATAAAACACTCTTATGGAATCGTGCGTAATACCTGATAAGAAACCAGTGTATCTATGAGTTTTCCTGATCTGAACTGTAATGACCTATCTGGTGAGGTCCATTATGTACATACACTCCGGTTGAGGAGGTAACTACTAATCGAGAGTTTGAGTTCATTGTTGAGAGGAGGATTGTACCACGTATTTATACTTGTTTATTTCGTTTATTTACTCTTCCTCATACTTGTTTACTTCTTACTATACATGATTTATTGGACTACTAGTAAGTGTCGATGTCGACCCCTCGTCACTACTTCTTCAGGGTTAGGCTAGATACTTATTGGTTACGTGTTGATTTACGTACCCATGTTGCACTTATTGTGCAGGTACATATATGTCTGGTGGTCTTTTGGGCGCAAAGGCGCAGCTATTGCAGGGACTTTACGTTGAGTTGCATTCCATGTTACGATCCGCAGCATACAGAGTCTCCATCAGAGTTATTTATTTTCTCCCTGTAATTAAATTGATCAATCACCGTTGGCTTATCTGACGGCGGTGTTAGGTGCCATCACGATTTATAGTGAATTTTGGGTCGTGACATATATCATCTCCTTAAAAATAAAATAGAAAATCTAAGGTTCTTTTTTTGTACATATAAGAAAATGACATTATATTTTAGACCGTCTAAGAAAAAAAAGAGTGTCACAAATAAAGCTAGATCGAGATCGCGACTCACTTTGTTTAACAAAACAAAACAAAATAAAAAGCATATTCAGATATTCTATACAGCCAAGTCAGTACTGTGCATATCAACTCCTAATCACACATAAATACTTAAAATAAGACACGTAAGCATTCTTTGAATGTATAATGTGATTCAGGTATCGAATGCCAAGTGTGTTAATATTTTGACATCAGAATCGTGAAGATAGTAGAAAACATAAGCAGATCAATTAGCCCTTTCTTTTTACCTACTTCACTCAAAATTAACAGCTAGCTACTACTAAAATGTAACTCTCCTTGCAATTTACACCAATTAAACAATCTCAGTATTTAATAGTATTTCTCTTCTTCAGTATCAATATTAAAACTGCAATTTCTCTTCTTTACGATCTATATTTGTATGCTAATTCTATTTGTCAATATCCATGATCAGAATTGCCTTTTACCTCTATCAGCTCCAGCTCCAGGTAATTGATAATCTTTATCAGACTCATTAGTGTTATCTTCAGTATCAACATTGTCACTTTCACTATCAGCAATTGTCCTTTTTTCAGTACTTCCAAATTATCAAAATAAGGTCATATTTCCCTTTTTGGCCTCGGCTCATTAATCACGATTCCATTACGTTTTCCTTCACTGCCATATTTGCTTCCGGTTCCTGTACTATCAATTTTCTTACTTCCAGATCCTGCTAAGAAGGAATTTTTGAGTATTATCTTTGGCTTTTGTGCCGGCTTGTGCTGTTTCACTTCCTGTGGTTGTTGCACAGTTAAGGGCGTTGGATTTTCCCCACCTATAGCTATTTGACCTAATAATCTGTTCATGTACTTTTGCTGGCAAAATTAAGAACTCATCAGATTTAATTTTGGGCTTGTTTGGTTAATACATGTATATAATAGTTGCCCAGATTATGAGATAGTGAAAAGATCTAGCCTTGCATTTTAAAGAATCAAAGTATAATTCTTGAAAGAAATGTGCATACCCTCTGCCAGCAATTGATGATCTCTTCTCCTCAATTACATCATAGAATCCTGAAGGAGGAATCTTAAAAGGTATTCTTTTCATAGAAACCAGTCTATGCAACATTTCTAGTTGCTTTTCTCTAGCCACTCGTTTATCCATCTTGCGTTGTCCATTGGCTATCTCAGCCCGTGCTTGATGATAAAGTTCATTCTGAGAATCAAGGTCATACTTCCAATCTTTAGCTGAATTGTGAAGAAGTTCCTCCTCAGCAGCAGGGCTACACTTCATAAGTATATTATAACGCTCCATACATTCAGATGCTCCACGATGCATCACTTCTTCAACTGTTCCCCATAGTGGGGTAAGGGCCCTTCCAAATTTTATTAGTTTACCATAGTAGGGTAAGGGCCCTTGAAGGAAATGTACGTACCTTTTGTCAGTATATGATGATGATCTCTGTGGCTTCATGTTTAAGGACGCTGGATTTTCTCCACCTATTGGACATGATAAATCTATTCCTGCACTTTTGCTGCCAAAATCAGAATCCAAGAACTCATCATATTTAATTTAGGGCTTGTTTGGTTGCATGTATTACATATAATACTTGCACAGAATTCAAAATTTCAATATGTACACTATTTGGTTATCAATTTTGTTGTACAAGTAATATTACATGCATAATATATCCCTCAAGGTGTAAAAACAACTTTTTGAAAAAAGTAAATAGAAGACATATATTTTAATCCTACATACGTACAATTAGTGCTCTCTTCTCTCTCTTCGCTCTTCCACTAACGGTCACCATCCACCTACCCGCCAGTGCTCGCACCACCACCGGCGGCCGCCGAAAAATACAGGTAATTAACCCTACACTCTTTTTTTCTCTCTCTCATCCTTTCTTCCGCCCTCCTTCCCCTGTTCCTCTTTTCCGTCCTCACTGCCTTTCTGCCCCAAACCCAAAGCCGCTTGTGTTTCTTCCTCTCCCTCTCTCTTTTTCCATCTTTTGTCTTCCCCACCCTATCTCCCTTGTTCTCCATCTGTTTTTTCCCTCTTTCCCGTCCTTTTAAGAAAATCACCGCCACTCAGATCTGAGCCGAGGAGCATCGCCGCTGCTCTCCATATCTTATCCTTCAAGTGTGGCAGGTTATCAAATTGCTGGCGAATATCAGCAAAGAGGCGAGTGGAACACTCGTGCTAGCAAAGAATAGCAAATAACAGCGGCCGCAGAGGCTTGTGGGAGTGCGTAGAAGGTCAGTATTATAGCAACGCCTCGACATCCAATTGGTGATCCAGGTTCTATCCACCCAGAGTTGGTACATCCGGATCTCCTGTCTCCTTTTGTCTTTCATTCTTGCGAGTTGCAGAATTGCTTTAATTAACAGTATATATTTGTTTGTTTTTAGTTTCGCGCATTAGTCCTAGTGGAGTACTTATCTGCTTGCTTGTAGTATCGACGGGGTGTCTTAGTTTAAATATTTTACATTGCATACTAGCTTGTCGTTGCTTTATTCTTAGTGTGTTCTTGTTTTATTACATTCTGTGCACCTGTTATTTTATTGTTAAATCTTATTACTAATACATTTCGTTCACCTGTTACTTTGCTATTAATCTATTTATCTCAATAGTATCTTTCGGGTACTTAATCTCACATACCTTGCTGCTACTATCATTCCTAGTTTAATAGTCCTACTTCTGTGCCTTTTAGCTTATTAGTTTGCCGTTTCTTCCATGGTAGTTCCTGCTTAGAATGTATTAGATTATAATGGTTGTACTAAACGATGGCAGGGTAAGGTCAAGTCNTGGGGACTTTGACGAGAAATTCTGCAGAGTTATCGAAGATTTTTCATAAGAGGAAGATAAATATAGCTTGTTTGCATAAGACTAGATGGGTGAGAGATATGGTACGGAATGTAGATAGGTTTAAGTTTTGGTACTCTGGATACATGGGGGGCAAGAACGGGGTAGGTATTTTGGTTGATAGGGATCTTCGGGAGCTAGTGGTGGAGGTTAGGAGGGTGAACGACAGGTTGATGAGTAAGCTAGTTGTTTGGGGTTTTAGTCTAAACGTGATTAGTACGTACGCATCTCAAGTGGGCTTGGACGAGGAGGTCAAAAGATGTTTTTGAGAGGATTTTGATGAGGTTGTACGTGGTATTTCGCACACTGAGAAGATTTTCTTAAGAGGAGATTTTAATGGCCACATTAGGGCGATGTGAGGAGGCTACGATGATGTGTATGGCAGTTTTGGTTTCGAAGTTAGAAACAAAGGTGGTACGACCCTACTGGATTTTGCTAAGGCTTTTGATTTGGTGATAGCTAACTCTAGTTTCCCGAAGAAGGAGGTGCATTTGGTCACCTTTCAGAGTTCGGTGACCAGGACCCAGATTGATTATCTACTTTTTAGGATAACTGATAAAGGTATGTGCGGGGACTGTAAGGTCATCCCGAGTAAGAACCTCACGACTCAGCAAAAGGCTTATGGTCATGGACTTGGAGATCATGAGGAAGCGAAGAAAAAGGGCTGTGTTTGGTTTACCTAGGATCAAGCGGGTAGCTTTGACAAAAGTTAGAGCACATGAGTTGGGGAGATAAGTTATTGGCTATAGTATCATGGAGGAGGAGTGCGGACGCGAGTAGTATATGGACCGCGACTGCAAATTGCATTAGGGAGGCTGCTACTGCTAGAGAGGAATTGGGGGTCTCGAAGGGCTCATCTAGCCATAAAGGGGATTGGTGGTAGAGTATTGAGATTCAAGGTAAAGTGGAGGCCAATAAAGCGGCATATCTGAAGCTTCTGGAGAGCGTGGACGAGGAGGCGAAGAGGACGAATAGGGAGCAGTATAGGATGGCTAAGAAGAAAGCGAAGTTAGCAGTTACTGCGACCAAGACTATTGTGTTTGACATTTGTATGAAGAACTCAGAGGTAGAGGAGGGGATAAGAAGTTGTACAGGCTAGCCAAGGTGCGAGAAAGGAAGGCCGGTGACTGGACCAAGTGAAATGCATCAAGGACAAGGACGGCAAAGTTTTTTTCGATGTGGCACTTATTCGACGTAGATGGTAGACTAACTTCCATAAACTCTTAACGACGAGGGGATAGGAACATTGAGCTAAGCGACTTAGAACACTTTGAGTGTTATCGGGACTTTGGTTATTGTAGGCGTATAAGAGTCGAGAAGGTTGAGGGGGCTATGCTTAAGATGGGCAGGGGGAGTGTGACCGGCCCTGAAGAGATCCCGGTAAAATTTTGGAAGAGTATGGTTAGGTGCAATGGTATATGTTATTAGCGTATGACATTGTTCTGGTAGACGGTACGTGAGGTAGTATTACCGAGAGGTTAGAGATTTAGAGGCAGACCCTGGAGTCTAAAGGTTTAAAGTGCAAGTTTAGTGGGACAACTCAGGTTGTGGACGAAGAAGTGAGGCTTGACTTCCAAGTCATCCCTAGGAGAGAGAGTTTTAAATACCTTGGGTATATATATATATATATATATATATATATANAGTAAATATAATACATATTTTAATCCTACATTACGTACAATTAGTATATTATGTATATTAATCCCTGTAATATCACTTATATAATCCTTATATACATTAAATGCATTAATATCATAAATCTATATATGCATAACTTATCTCTAAATCAAATCGTCCATAAAGGTAATTCTTTAGGCATCTGAATACCAACATTAATTATGAGATAGTATAAAGATCAGCCATGCATTTTAAAGAATCAAAGTATAATTCTTAAAAGGGGTGTGCGTACCCTCTGTTAGCAAATGATGATCTCTTCTTGAACGGTAGAGGACTACTTGCTTCAATAGTCACTTGAGTATTTTGACTCTTTATTCCGCAGCTAATAGCTAAATCAAGAAAATTATTATTTTTCTAACTCACTCATAAATCAAACTACAGAATACTACTAGTAATATTTAACACATCCAATATTATCAAGAAAAATTAAGCTTTAATTCCTCTTCTCCCTTCATTGTCTTGAGTTCTTTTTTCAATATACTAATGAGGGAAGTTGGAGAAAGTCATGAGTGGCTCTAGGGTAAGGCCACTAAAGCTTATGCTTTAGGCCCCCAAGAGTCAAAAGGCGCCCCAAAATCTTTTCTATTAATTATAATTATTTATATTAGTGAGATTTTTTTTAAGTTAACAAAACATTAACATTTTGTTTTAATACACTAAGTTGGTTCTCGTTATCAAATATGTTATTAGTAAATATGAATATTTGAATAATTTAACTCAAAAATTTAAAATATTAGACAATGTTATACTGTGAAATACTTAAAAGAAAACTTAAAACCTTTGAAAAAAAATTTGTTAAGACTATACAGTTTTTTCTTAGTTATCTAAATTAATCGTGTCTATTTGTCCAACCGTTGTCACATTACTAATGTTATTTCCTCGCATATTCTTAAGTTTTGGCTTTAGACCTCCGATTTTATTGAGCTGACCCTGAGAAAGTTACAAGAAAGTATGGTAAAAAGAAAATTGGAATCACATATCATGAGTCATGAATAAGCAAAATTAATAGCTTCGCTATAGAGGTCCTGGGTTTTCTTGTGAAATTCTGAGATAAGCAATGCCGAAGTTCTTTTATTCTCTTCTTCTTCTTTTCCAGATTCTGAGTTCATCTTTGCGTTTATCTTGATCAGACATTTTGATGAGTTTCTTGATAAATCCGGGTTGAAGAAGTTCTTATGAATTAGATGATGAAGAAATGAAGACGCATAGAACAAGAAAGAAAGAAAGAGAGAGAGAGAGAGAGAGAAATGGAACTGTTATTTGTACGAATATTTATAAGTAGTGGAGTAACTACTTTTCGTGGACGGTAGTAGTATTTGATTGCGTGCTGCATTATGAACTTATGATCACTTATTTATAATTTTTATTTTCTTTTTCTTCTTCTTTTTATTTTTATTGGTTTATTTGTAGTTTTATTTTAAACTCATATAGAACAAAAGAAGTTCAGCGATAGTAAGATTTCTTGCCTTATTTTTTCCCCCTATAATTTCTATTGCTTTCTAATCATGATTTGGCCAGTGGTACTAAAGATTAGCCGGTAGAAATGACACTAGGTTGTCACTTTTTTTAAGTCTGATATTTAAAATATATCAATAACTTATAATGTATTTAAAAATTAGTCATTTCGTCAAAATTAAAAGGCTAAGTATTCTGAATTTTTGCATCTTAAATTTTTGAGCTGCTATTTTTTGAAATTCAAGATTTAGTGTCCTAAATTTTTTGAGCTGCTAATTTAAAATTCAGGATTAAGAGTCCTGAATTTTTTAACTGCTAATTTAAAATTTATGATAAAAGATTCGAATTTTTGGACATAATTTTTGAACTTTAGGACACGATATTCTAAAGTTTAAACCTTAAGGTTTATATTTCACGACATTGTGTCCTAATATATGAGCAAATTAGCTAATATTTAAATACATTGTAAATTGTGGATATATTTTAAACAAAATGGAAGCAAAACTAGGCATTCGGAATTTATTTTTCAATTGGAAGTTGTACATCTAATGAATAATACCTGAGTCACAACTACGACGTCAGAGGCAAACTAAGGACAACAACTTTGCGATATTGTGTCAATTCTAATTTATTTTTTTTTTGGTAAGTAAATTTTTTTATTACCGAGTATAATTATGTACAAGGCTCAAATTAGAACATCAACAAAAAAAAACTCTGGCAAATTGGACATGAAGTCTCAACTGCCAGGCTCTTCGGACTTCCCTACTACTTTTTAATCCACTAAACTAAAGATAAAAGTTTAACCCCTTGAGAGTTGAGTCTACTGGCTATCTTGAGTTTTCTGGTGCCTCTGCAGAACATAACTAGCACGACTAATCTAAGTATCCCATCCACAGTCCTCTGCTTGTCTTGGAATAATCTAAAGTTTCTCTGTAATATATACAGCCTACTAGTGACATTCTATAAATTTTTGTTATAGCCTGCTTCCCCTTCATTTCTTTGTTTGCCCAGTCAATCTCTTCTTTCCATTTCATTACTGGCCTTATTTACCTTTGCCACTGTAATAATCTTTCCCAAATTTCTTTATACATCCTGCACTCAAAAGATAGATGTGTGACAGATCTATTCTCCTCATTACATAAGCCACAGACTTGATCAATTGTCATACCCCATCCAGCTAGCTTATCTTTGGTGTTGATCTTTCCCTGCATTACAAGGTTCATGATAAAGCACCATCTTTGGACAACATAATTATTGCATGTTAGTCTCTGTTGCGGAAGCCAAATGTATATAGTGTGAATGAGTCACAACTACTATACCAAAAATTATGACAATCACTAAATAATAAACAAGACAATAAGACAACAATAAAAGAACACCAGAATTTACGAGGTTCGGCCAATTTTGCCTACTTCCTCGGACACAATCAATATTTTATTCCACTCCAAAATTACAAGTGAAATAATACTAAAGAGAGAAGATACAAATGCCTTAAGAAGATAAAAAAGGCAAATGAGAGGTGT